AGGTTGCAACACGTAAAGATTTACGGCCTGACAGGCGAACAGCTGGCCGTCATTTGCTTATGAAAACGAGTCAGTTATCCCAGTTAACAGATAATCCTTATGTATGTACATATATGTGTTATTGCTGCTGTTGTTGTTATTTTGGTTTTTGTTATTATTATTATTTTTGTTGTTGCTGCCACCTTTGCGGGCGGGCGTGATGTGTTTTAGTGGGTGATTTTGTTTGCTAATTTCAGCTTCAAGCGGGTGTTCAAATATATATATATAAATATGAATATGTATGTATGTATATACATATATATATATATATGTCTGTTTCTCCACATATTTAACTTGTATATTTGCATATATTTAGTGGCGTCTATTTTTGTCTTTGCTGCTTTTACACAAGCTTCTCTTCCCCTACTTGCTTTCCTGCTTGTTATTGTTGTATTTATTACAACTGTGCGCTTCCGCCGCTCACCCCCAACTGCGTAGATATCTACTATGTATGGTGTATTTATTGAGGGTTTCATTGTCAACATTTATAGCGCTTGTTGTAATCAACCGGCGCCTGTCGGTCGGCTTTTTCACGTTTATCTCGTCCATTGCGCATCCTTCATCCTTTATACTTTGGCCTCCGTCGTAACTTAATCCACGCAATTGTGTTCGGCGGCATGTCATCCACCATCAAGTGATGCTTCAGTGCGTGCCTCTGTTTACTACATCGTTTGTTGTTGTTGGCAATTTCTTCTTTGTAATCACGGCTTGCAGTCAATCGTTTTATACACAAAGGGGAGGAGAAATGCAACGTAAGGAAGGTGTTAAATTGGAGGCTTTTAATTTACACTTGAAATTTAAGAATTAAATTGCGAACTGGCGAAAGATTTGAAATAACAAAATTTAATGGATGATATCCGTAAAAGGTCGAAAAATCGCGTAAACTTTCTTGAGGAATAACATAAAAATTTTTATTTTTTTTTTTGCACTGACTTTCATTGTTTATTCAAAGAATTTACAAAGAATATAACAATGACAAAATTCAATAGAATCTGTATTCTACTATAGAAGGAAATGAACGGATTATAGATACATATTTTTAATAAATTAAATGAAATGGAAAACATATACCAAATTAGCAGCTTGCTCTTGAACAACCAGTGGAGAAGTTGAAAATAATCACTTTTTGATATAAGTCTAAAGCATTCACGAATCAATGATCACATTTTTTAAGAAGCATTGAGTAAAGTTTGTTCGCTAAGTTCAATAAAACGAGTTCGATCACAAGTTGACTATCAGAAATATCGCGTAAAAGTTTTTGAATAATGTTATGATTGATATTGATTTCGTTGAAAAGTTTAAAAATGGCAACGACTTTGCGTTAAATAGTTGTGACATTGAAACCATGTCCCTTAGATCAATAGAAGAGCATAGAAGAGCCAGGACAAAAAACTGCGTTGATAGAATTTAATTTTAGACTTTAAGAATGGGAAAAAGTGTTGAACTAAACATATTTAACTAGCGATGAGGTTTTATGCACGTATGCGTGTGTGTCTGTGTGCTTGTGCGAACCTACTGAATAGTGTGGTAAGGTGGTAAAAATATTGCAAAATAGTAATATAAGATACAAAAAATTTAATATAAATAAAAAATTCAAAGATTTTCAAAAATACGATAAATAAGAAGAATAATTTATCTTAAACTTTTAAAATATTTCACAAGAAAAAAAAAATGCAATCGTACAAACAGGAAAACTATTTGTACGAAGAAAGCATTGCTACTAAATTTTTTTCAAACCCAAATATGTTCCCAAATGCTTTCTAGTATTTATGTAACTAGCGCAGAAAAAGCGAATTACGATCAGGGTTGCAAATAATGCAATAAAAATTTAATTGAATTAACTTTTGAATTGTTTTTTATTCTGTAATCCCAAATGCGGAATTAAAACTTTTTTTTATTAAATTTTCTAATTTTTGATCCGGTTTTAGGAATACATTTTTTTTTAAATCAGGTACGTGGGATCAAAATTTTTTTATGTTTTAAACCAGTATGCGGAATTAAAAAAAATGTAATTTTTAAAATTTTATCCCAAATACCGGATTGAAAAATGAAAACGAAAAATGTTAATATTTTTTCGCGATCGTTGAAAAAAGAGTAATATTTTTAATTTTTAATCACAACATCGGGATTAAAAAAATAAATTCTAATCTGATCGGAACATCGGAATTAAAAAATAATAATTTTATTTTTAATCCCTAATTTTTTAATTAAAAAATTTGTTGTGTTATTCGAAATAAAAATATGAAAAATTTAAATGACGTAATATAACATAGTCGGTGTAAGTATTTAATTAAGAATTTGAAAACACCTTATGGATAGAGCTTTTATTTGCGAGTCGCTACTGATTCGAAATGAAATCAATTTTTACCTGTAGCGGATGGGTAATGGTGTTGAAAGATAAGTCACTTACGACAAAGTCAAGCGAAAACAGGCGAGGTGGGTATCCCGGTGTGCCGGCATAAACGTTGGCCGAATTAGGATTAATGGTCAACAGGGTTTTGTTATGTGTTTGATGGAACTGGCAGCGAATCATTTACTATGCTGATCTTCTACGGTCAGTTGTTCTTTCAACATTTGGTACGTCTGAAGAAAGCAATCATCCAAAAGCGGCCAGCTTTGGCCAATAGAAGAGGAACTGTGTACCAACAGGACAACGCTAGGCCACATACATCGATAATGACTAGCCAGAAGCTCCAAGAGCGTTGGAAGGTTCTTAAACATCCACCTTATAGTTCGGACTTGGCACCAAGTGATTGCTATATGTTTCTTAACTGTTCCAGTTGTTTGGAGGGGTAAGGGTTTCTGTGATTCCTCCAAGTAAAAAGTAAAATAAGTTATTGAACAAAATATTTGTGCATATTTGACCTAAATCGGATCATTCTAACTTTAGGTGACCATATTTGTCCCGGCAAAACCCGGGACGGTTTTTTTAGTCATCGATTTTTTTCATATTATAATTCACTGAAAATCGTGCCATACAATAAGTGAGAGAGGAACACAACTTTATTCAATTCATACTTTTTTTTTAATTTCTAAGCCTTGGATGGCCGGGACCCTTAACTCGGATTCCGGATTTTCGCGGCCTAGCCGGGACGATTGGTCAGCTAATTCTAACTATGCTGATTAAAATTAATTTTAATGCAAAAATAGTGGATTTATTTTTACAAAGCCTTAAAAGAATTTTAATGACTCACGTGTTCTCTAAAACTGTTCAACAAATATATATTCGCACGAAATTTCACAGTTTAAAATATTTTTCAAAGCTAAACATCAAACTTTAATAATTAAAGTTATATTATATAATGGAACTATTAATGCCTCAATAGAAAAATAATTTCAATCTAGATCATAAAATGATAGAAACTAATTTTTTTTTGTTTTTTCTAATTTTAAATGAGTTTATTAAGTTTAAAATGAGTAAAATTTAAAAATTTCAAAAAAATAATCAGTCAAAGATTATAAGCTTTATATTTCATACATATTTCTTACTTTGAATAACGGAAAGTTCGTAATTATTTTATCTTTAATGTTTGGAGATTACAATTTTTAAAGGCTCTTGTATAAACTTCGTTTTGTAATTGCTACTCTCTGATATGGGAAAATTTGAATAAACTAAAAATTAAAAAAAAGCAACCAATACAACGCACCAAAAGGACTGCTCTGCCTACACACAAATATTTATATGCATATGTGGCATATGCAAACTAACCAAAAATTAACATTTAATCTGCCAAAATTCACATTAATCTGCTGAGTCAACAAGTTGATTTACATTTCCAATGTTAATCTCAAATAAGCGCACAAAAGTGCTTTTAAAATTTCATTCATGCATGCAAGAACACACACATACAAACATACATACATATGACATGTATGGTATATAAACATATGTACATATGTGTAAATAGCTGCATGTACTGATAAGAAAAACAAGCTTTTGTCGTTGTACCTTCCAGTTTAAAAAACAACGAAGAGCCAGTAAATGAAAACCACAACAAGAGCAAAAACATAGCATATCAGATACTCATGTATACATATGAACATGAATTTCGTCCGCACAGGCAAGCAACAAGCTGTGAACACTGCACAAGCATGGACCAGTCGATACCGGCGAGTGTCATCAGCAGGTCTCCCACTGCTACACGGTTGACAAGTTCCAAGCAATGAACCGCTACCTACACACAAGCCAGCTATTTTGGCACAGCTTATATGAATATAGCAAAACAACTTGCAACATGAAGCGTATGTATGCTTTGAGTGTACGAGCATGTGTGTGTTTGTGTGAATTGCCAAAACCTGCTAATCAGTTTTTCGCCCATTTGTATCGACAGAGCCATTAACTGCGACCCACAAAACTAACTAAAACTCCATCAGCGTCAATCGACTTGCCACAAATGGCCGAAAAGAGGAGACAACGAACATTTTCACATCATAAATTTTTTGTGAGAAGTCACAGGCAACTTCACGTACATACATTATGTCGAAGACTACATTCAGCTCTGCTGCCTACATTTACCATATAGGATCCAGCTTATTTGGCTGTAAATCAACAACAATGTGCCACCATAGTACATCATGCCCCAACCGCCCTGTTGTGCAATGATTTAGCAGCTTGCCTTGCCTTGATGGTTGGAACAACAAACGCTTCATAGTCAAACTGCCGCCGTCGCCGCTTTTATCGAACGTTTTTGCCATTCATGCCTAACAAACTCTCAACTGAATTCAATTAAAAGACATACCGACACACTCCATACGAAACACTTGAACCCGACTAAACTGCGCAGCACACAAGCACTACGAGCAACATACATCCCTGGCTACTTTTGAGCTCATTCATCTAACTATCGGCATCCAGTGGTCGTGCCATCATAGAATATATTCATGGACATGCACAGTATGTGAGTAAAACAAAAAACAAAAAAAAGAAAGAAGTAGCAAAGGAAAAAAGCGTTTCCACTTACTTTTGCATTCATTGGCGTCGGTGTCCGTTGCACGTCCCCATGGACGATCGAAGTAGAATGGCTTACAACGTTCACATTCCGGTCCGGCTGTGTTGTGCTTGCATGCGCACGTCATTGTCAACTTGACATTCACATTGGCGTTGTTATTATTGTTGTTGATGTTGTTGTGATTGCCATTAGTGTGCGCAGCACCAGTGCCATCGAAGTCATCGCCAGCATTATACATGCGTGGTAGCGCATCATTGGGTCCCACTGTGGCTATACATTCGGAGGCATGACCATTGCACTTGCAGCGTCCACCAACTGCAAAATCCGAGACGGCATAATGTTGTGAAATAGACAATAGATCCTTGGTAGTAGGCTTAGGCGCTACTTTGCCATCACTGGCGACCGCATGTTTGTCCAATGTTGCGGTGTCCGCTTTTGTGGTGCTCGCGACCGCAGCTGCAGCAAGCGCTGTTTTGGCTTGGTAATGTTTCTCATAGGCGGTCAGCTTTGGTTTAATGTTATAACGTTTGACCTCTGGCACGATGCTGATACCGCCATCGTTTGGATAGTCCAAATCTAAATTATCATCGTCCAACTCCAAATGCTTTTTTGGTTCGGCAGCATATTCTTCATCTTCATATGTGCTATCGTTGCCTTGCAGATTATAATCATACTCCTCATCTTCGTCGTCTTCGTCCTCCTGACTACTGCCCATCTCATCGCTAAAACTATTCGCGTCTGGTTTGGCAGCATCCTTTGCCTGCGCCGCTGCCAGTTCTCGTGGCAACTCGAGCCGATGGAATACAACACGTATATCGGTGGCGGTAACCCAATCCTGCAGTACAAGCGATGCATCCAGGTCATTGGCCGAGGGACGACCTTCGAGTGTATTGAATGCGAAACGATTTGTGCTGCCATCGCGATGTGAGTCTATGCAACGTGCTTCCTGCTCATTGAACTTGCTGATTTTAGCGCGATCCGGTCGTCCATAAAATTTCAGACATTGTGAGCTATAGAACTGAAAGGGTTGCCAGGTCTGACCGAAATCAGAACTCTTATATATGGCCAATGAGTCGGGACGTGGCGATTTCGGGCAGAATGACAAAGTTACATAGGTCAATTCATATTTCTTGCCCAACGACAGTGTGAGCGTTACATTATCCGGTGGCGCAATATCCACATCGGCCGGCACTGGCACACTCGCCGACCGCCAACAAGTCACATTGTTGGGATTATTCAAATCAGTTAAGGCGCTAGCGGGAAAACGCGTTTCGGCACGGCTATTGTCGCACACGTTGCACTCGCTGAGCGTGCCATCGCGATTGATTTCGCAGAAGTGCTCCGGTCGACTTGCACCACAAACACTGGACGCCTGCACGGGATTACCGTAGGCCGCATTCACGAAACTGGGCAAACACTTGCGCGGTTTGTCCTCGAAGTAGCAAGGGTCGCTGTCGGAATGCGCAGAGGAGGAGGCGCCAGCGGCAGCAACACTGCTGATGGGTTTCAGCGCATAGCTGAGCATACAAATGCAAAAGCAGATGACAGCTGGCATGTTGTGCAAGACGCTGAAGCGTCTATGGCAGGCTTTGTTATTATCTTTATTGTTATTGTGTGAGACTGCGGTCTTAGTGGTTGTCATGTTTGCGCGCGTACACATTACTCAATGTTTTCTGCTTATAATTTTTAGCAATTTAGCTCTGCTCAGTTGCGTTGCATGCAAACGTACGAGTTGTGCGCGTTTCAAGTATTCAAGTCACACGCGACCGATTAACACTTGCAATACTTCCTATTAGCAATATTCTACGATGTCGTGTTGTTTTTGTTGTGTTTTTTATTATTTTTTCGCAATTTTATTTTTTTTTTGCTATTTGCCTTCAACACTCTGCTTCAAGCGCGGGTCCACTCTTCAACCACAGCACGTGCTGCATGCAATTGCGGACCTACCCGTACGTACAGACGACCGACCGATCCTCCGGCTAATTTGTATTCTAGTAGAATTTTTAATTTTTAATTAAATGACAACACGTTTGCACGTTAATTGCCCATTGGGATTTTGCGGCGTGCGGAACCGGCGTCTACCGCAGAAAATAGAGTGTAAAAAAAATCGTGACACGAAAAAGAGTACAAGCGCTGGAATGCACTACAAGCCGTTGCACTTAACACAAAGTTGCACTTAATGCGCGCTGAAAAGAAACGCAAAAAATGTCTGGTGTCTATGAGCTCGACCTGGCTTTTATTCGCACCTCTACGTTTGCGACTGAATTTGCAGGCCACAACAAAAAATTCGCGCACCACAACCAATTTGCATAGACGTGTTCGTGCTGTAGAAGCCTAAGTACTGCGGGAGTTTTTTAGCTAGACTGAAGGTGGCGAGCTCAGTGCGAATTTTCCATCAGCGCGCGTGTCGTATTTGCCCTCCTTCTTTTCGTTTTACAATGAAATATCACTTTTGTGATTGACTTAACACACGTCGCTTATCAGTCGTAGCCCACGCGCGCGTTGTTTGGTGATTAATTTTCGAGACACGCCACCAGACGCTCTTCCTTTCGCGTACTTAAAGTATGTACAAATATATGGATGTGTGTACGTCTTTCATAAACTATACGCTCCCGCAACACACAGTCAAGTCCAAAAATAGCATTCGTTAAGACACTGCAAGCGCTAGCTGGGTCTCGGCGTCACACTGTCTACCGTGTCGCTGATCTAGCCTCGCGACCAGACGGCCATCAGCCGTTGACGACGTGGAATACCAAAAGAGCCAAGAGCCACACACGAACAAGCGCAACAGCTGTCCGTTATGTGGACGGATTGGCGGTGGCAAAGGCAAGGCGCGAGTACGTAAAATACGTTCAAAAAAGAAGACGCAAAAAGAACTGACAGGCGTTCTGACGCCTATTTATGTGCTTACTTCACACGCACAACAATAACAACATTTGCCAATATTTTTATTAAAAAAATCTTTTGTTCACACAAAACACTTTCCTTTGGTAACGACTTTGATTTGGACTACCCACAGTGGGGTCGTTGGAGCTGCCGTGTTAGTGGTCCAACACGGTCAGCTGCTGACGTTCTTCTGACGTTGCGAACGTGCCAGCGTTTGCTAATTATCTGCACGCATGGACCAGTTTGCCTAGTAGCCTAGGCAGCAGCTAACCAACTATTTTTCGGCTTAGTACAAGCAGCAATCGGCTGCCGAATCACTTACACGACACGCTACGCCACTATTAACTATCACGCGAGGTGTTATGCGTTGCCTGTGTATTGTATAGCTTTTGATATATTTCAAAATTCACCACACTTCCTTCCTTTGGCACCACAACTGAATGAAACGCACGAACTCACCCTCCCTCGACGGTGGGTGGTTGTTACTTTGATTATTCTTTATAGCCTACAATACACTTTACACTACACTTTATTTCCGATTCCGGTACTCGCATCAACGCGTCGTCTATTACTCGTTTCGTTTCGTTACACACTTCCTTCTAATAATACACCACGAACTGCGCTTCGTTTTACCGGCAATACATTCACCATACACATAAACATACTCTCAAACGGCGACAACGACGACCACGAACCGTTATGACTTCACTGTGAATACACTTTTCGTTCTGTACGTGACGAGAGCTGATTTTGTACTGAGCCACGCGAATGTTTTGTTTGCTTTCCAACAGTTGGGCGATTCGGTTAGTGTGTGCGCTCAGTGGCTCAGCCGAAAATAACAAAGTGCAAGCGGCGAGCGCATTGAAGGTGGGAAATGTGCAGATTACGGTGGTTGTTGGCTGTTGCTCTCGCTTGACTTATTTAATACTCGTAGTAGTGTAAATTCGGCTAATTCATTTTCGTGTGGCTACTGTGAACGCAAAGAGAATTTTCTTAATGTTGCTGGCACTCGGTAATGTGTGCGCTCAGCAACATTGGCTTTAGCATCATCAGCAACTCATCAACCGGCCGGTTTTCATTCATGTGGAACGCGTTGCTCCGCAAACGGTAGGTGAGATAGTCAAATTAAGCGCTTCAGCAGATGTGGCGCGCAGCATCAGGTGTGCGATTAGTTGCTAAGTAAATTGTTTATAAACATTTGGATGACAAAAATTGTATAGAAACATTGTAAATCTCTTAAATAGAATTTATTAGATATAGCTAGATATAGTTTTAATATACTTTTTATTTTTACATTTATCATCTCTTTTGGTTGGCGATTTTCTTTACGAGACAATTTCTCCCCGTATTCCCCGCACTAATTTTCAGACGCGGTTTGACTAAATATTTTGTTGCACGGTTTTTGCCAAAGCTGTGAGAAGAAAGGTAGGGTGGAATCATATTTTCATTTTTCATATTTACCACACTGAGATTCAAATATCTCGCTAGACACGGCTTCGGCGAACCCCACAAATTGGCTTGGATTGATATTAACCACCTTAACAAATTTTTAGTCAGAATCTGATGGTCCATTCTTGGGAGTTTTTGGGTCTCACAAAGGATCAACCATCACATATCCTAACATATAAACCTAAATACTTGTCTTTCATTAGAACTCAGCATGATAATACTAAACAGACACAATTATCCCGCAAACACTGCTTGCCCATTGTTCAAATTTTTTACTGATACGATATTTTTTAAACCGCGAACAGGGTATAATAACTTTGTAACGATGTTTTTAACACCTAAAATGAAACGTCGGAGTTCCTATAAAATATCTATATATAAAAATGGTCAGCATGACGAGCTGAGTCAATTTAGCCATGTTCGTCTGCCTATATATACGCGAACTAGTCCCACAATTTTTGAGATATCGATCTGAAAATTTGCAGACGTCCTTTTCTCTCCAAGAAGCTGCTCATTAACAGGAACCGCCGCTATTAGATCTTTATAGCATATAGCTTCTATACAAACTGAACGATCGGAATCAAGTGCTTGTATCGACAACTTTTTCATGTGACGAAATATCTTCACCAAATTTGGCATGGAATCGACAGCTCAAAATCAAGTTTCTGTAAGGAATATATTGTATTTGTGAATACGTGAATAATGTTAACGTTTTTTTGTTTAATCTTTTAGAGACTATTGGATAAATATCGATCGCAAACTAGCTTTGTCCGAAGGGAACTGAGAGAAAGCACGTCTGTTAGGTTTTCAAATGTTATCCCCGAACCGAAAAGCGTATCAATCTTAAGACGTTGTAAGATATGGACTAAAGGCACCACTTTACATCTACGTCAGCTTGCCTAGCAATTTGTATTTTACGTCCTCATCTCAACTATTCCTCCCATCATCGTTTAGCTCAATACTTTGACACAATCAAGATCCACAAGTTATGTTTGAGGTATAATTTCATAGTGACAATTTCACTATATTAATCGTTGCTTCCGTAGTAAAACTTCTTATAAGTCAAGCCGTATAAACTTTTTTCCAACCGCGTACTACATATCAGTTACAGTTTTTGGACGGATAACCAAAATTTCTTGATCTTCGCATACCCCTTTACAGAAACAGTTTACTTTCAGAAAACCCAGAAGGCAATACGTAACATTATGATCTTATTATCCTCGGAGTCAACACAAAATAAAATAGCCCATATCAAACTCTCATGAAATGAGACAAGACAACAACCAAAAAGAGAGAGACCGAAATACCTATAAGCAGCATGAATTAACTTCGGCACAGAAATTCTTTGGGATATATAAATCCATAAAAAATTCAATTATCTGAAATACTACAAGTACGACCTAATATATTCTATGGCGGTCTGCATTTTTTGTCTGAAATTCGGAACTACTTCTCCGATAAATTGTAATTAACTTTCGAAATCAAAAAAATGATTGACCATTTGTGGTTTTGACTAACAGCTGCGAATTTGAGTTTAAAAGAAAAAAATCGAATCTAATATTTTACAGTACATTTATCACCAGTAAAGCACATTGAAATTCATTACATAATATATCTTTTTAAATTCAAAAGGGAAATCAGACATTTTATAATCTTAGCACGTTCAGGGGAGATGTCATTTTAGCTCAATAGGCGAACGTAATCAAAGCAACAATATGCAAAAGCTGAGCTTAAAAAACGTGCAGCAGCGCGCTCAAGTAACGTGGACGAAAATTAAATGTTACGCATCAGGTAGCAACAACGGAGACGTCCACAAATTTTCTGTCGCGGCACGCAACGCAAAACAAACAAGCGAGCAAAAAAAATTATTCAAATTCGTTTTGGGCGAGAGCAAAAATTAAACAAACAGCAGACAAGAGAAGCTACAAGATACACCTACCAACACACATACTTTCATTTCTTTATTCCGTTGAATTATTGTATTTTTTATTTTTTCGAAATATAGGCGGGCAGTTAATAATTTCACGCCAAGCGGCAGCGCGCACGCGACCCCAACCAACGAACCAAGACCTTGTGAATGGCGGTCACACCAGCCACCGACGTACACTGACGCATCAGACGCTGACGCAGCTTCACACCTTGGCGATTTGTTGCGCCGCTTATCTGTGCCGTTTATCTCCGGAAGATATGTATGTGCCAGCAATATCAATAAGCATTGTGCGTTGGACGGTTAGTAATAGCCGTGGAAGTCGCCGAGCGCTGCCGTATAGAATTTCATTGCTTGACCGCATTTTGCTGCCGCATGGTGCCGCACTCACTAAGCCTTGCAGGCGAGACCGCGCAATTGCTTTTGGATACGCTCGCTTTGTCGCGCCGCAAGCTCGTGTTTGTACGAATGTCTGTCGTGTCGTGTAGGTGGTGCGCGGAAGAGTGTACGCATTCTTCTTCGTTTTAGTTAAAATATTCACTGTTGACTTTTCGGTGAAACGGGCAGAAATTCACCGTTAAATATTTTGTCGTTAAAGGAAATGCCAAGGTTGACTGACTAACGAAGTTGGCGAATCGGCGGAGCCAACTTACTGTGTTGTTATACAGCAATTTGTAATGCCTTTTTAATACACTCGCAGCTCTACTTCGCATACTCACACCCTACTTTCGTTAGCTAATATTTATTGGAGTCTTCGTTTTTGTTACTGAAGAGGGGTATATTGCTTTGGAAATACTAGTGAAGCGGAAAAATAAATAATTACTTCGTTGAATTCACTTTTAATTTATTCTTATGAGAGAGATTTTGTGAGTTATGGCTTTGAATCCGGTAGGACTCAGCTTTTCTCAAGTAACACAATTACATACACAATTAGAAGAAGCAACTCGGCCAAGCATATGTCAACGGTAAATTTCCTATATTATATATTGTACGTCAAGTCTTTTCTCTCTTCATTTGTGAACACATTTTGACACTGTTTGACTATCTCACTCTGATGCTATATTTTTTCATCATCTCTATCCATATAGAAAAAAGATGAAGTTGGATTTACGAAAAACTTAATTCCAAAGAGACATTGATCCTTAATTATACTTATATACACATGCGACCAAACATGCAGTCTCTGAAACACCCACATGTCCATCCGTGTTCAAAAAGAAAGCTGATTAACTGAACTGGAACTTCTCTGAAAGAAATTTAATTAGCTTAATCCAAGAGCATACTACATTTTCACATTGGTATTCCGAAATTATTTCGAGTATTTCATCGGACCTGCTTCGATGCGAATTCATCAGGCCTGCAGTTAACCGGAAATTCAGAAATTTTTTGAACCTTAAACCAAAAATATCATCGTATAATGAACATGTTTAGTGTCATTCCAAAAAAGAGCAAGTATTTGCGTCTTCAGAATCTTCTCTATATGTGAAGTCATATTCAAAGGTTATTGACGAAAACCACCCATATTTCAATAAAGTGGAAGTTAATCTAAACACCGCAACCCACCTAAAGCACTGTCTGTGAATCAAAAGAAAAAAACCTGATTTTTACAAAGTCTAATCTCTAGTATCTCGAATGATTTTCTTAGTAGTTTATCTAACTTAAAACCGCTATATTCCACACAACAATGTGTTAAAATGGGTTGCGATCTTATGGAAAGGAGATACGTAGTATTGAGACTGAATGCAAATGTCATTGGTTTAAGCTGAGACCCAAAATGAACTCTTCAGTAACAATAAATGGGATCGCACTCAAATGGCATCAATTAGAAACATGACAACAACATCGAGCTATACTTTTTGTTGTTCCTGAGTAGCAGTCCTGTTTCAAGCAAGGGTTTGGTGGAATAATGTCTATGAAAACTGCCCACAAGTACTGTAGCAATTCTCTTTGTCAGCACGCTCCGTTATGGATCTGATATTCAGTTAACAACAACAGACAGCCTGCTTTTAACCGGCATGCGATGTTCCAGCAGGCCTGTAGTCCTTTCAAGTACTTCAGCTTTTACTGAGATTTTTGTAAAGTAGTGGATTAGGAAATATAGAAAGCTCGACGATGTAATTGTTTCGTCATAAATTCAACCCCAGATTTTCGTCGCCTGTTTAAGAAATAAAAGTATCGAGATTGAGAAAATTAGGAAATTAGAGTTTTCAAAATCACATCTTTAATTTTGAAAAGCCTTCGAGTGTGTTCTCAAAAAAGTACTGATATTTAACACTACTGAAAATTAAAGTAATTAAATGTCTTACTGTAGCATTAAAGCAAGTGCAGTAGAGTACTAGTAGTAGTAGTAACTTTTCATACAGGATTAACTACTCCAATGT